GGTTTCAGTATCTTCTTCATTCTTACTGGCCCTAAGGCAGTACCGGTCTTTGATACCATTATCACTACCTAACAGTGCACTCCTTTAAATCATCTGAGAGACAAGAACGCAATGAATCCTTTGGTACACAACACAGGTCTGTAGCGGGGAGTTTTTCTATAGTCTCACTGGCCACCCATATGGACCAAAATAGCCCAAGTCTGAAAACTTTGACATGCCAAGTCCTTTCTGAAACAGGTAGGCTAGCATGAGGGAAAGGGGCCTACAGATACTTTGATGATATGGACCATATTCTGCATTGTCACCTTCCTGACTGGCAGTTCACGTGCAAGAATTTGTGAGTTTTGTTCTACATGCTGTCAGTGCTGCCTTTAACTGCTGTAAATCACCAAAGAAGGTCTATAGAACTTCTATGTCAATAACCTGTTCTACCTTGAGTATATTTTTTCTTTTGCAATTATAAAAAGCTGAAGAAAACAGAATTTTAATAGAGAAGTGCAATGCGTACATTTTTATTCAACACACTAGGTTTTGGGAACCTTCAGTTTTCATCCTGCTTAATAATCTAGAATAGTCTACTGTATCAAGCCAAAGATTCACAGACCCTCAGGAGAATGCCAATGCATAAATGCGCACTACAAATTAATGAGAATGAAACTAACTGCAAATTAAGGATTAGATAAGTAGTTACTAGCAAAGAAACAACCACAAAGCTCAACAAATATTCACTGAATACTAATTCTGTTTTGAACTCTATTTGTAATGAAATGCAATCTTACTAGACAATCAGCTTTTTACTACGGAACAGTATTTTAAGCATGCACCATCTACAAATTATCTTGTCTTTTAAACACTTGAACGCATAAACAAATAGCTGCAGAATAGCGAGACATCTCAACAGCAGCTAATTTATTGTATGACTTTACTTATCTCATGATGAATAATTCCCCAGTTAGATTTCCATTTTAAAGTATCTATGGATTTTCTTACTGTCTCTCTTAGTTAAATCTTTCTTACATTAACGTCATAAAATGCCTCTAATGGCCTACTTGAGAACAGACTTGACTTTACTAGGATTTATGGATGTAAATTTGAGATAAAAATTACCCTTCCCAAGCCAACACCAACAGATAACACAGCAATACAAGTAGTTTTGCTCCACAGCAGTAGCCAATAGTCTCAATCCTGATCTCCCTTGTATCAGCAATAATCTGAGGCACTGAAGAAAACGAAGTCGCTTTTAAGTTACCATCCTGAATAAATTCTGTCCCACTCTCTCTTCAGTCAGTTGGTAAATGTATTTAAGCAGCTTGTACTGAAGAGGCAGGGCAATCATCCCAAAACAATGACCAGTGAAACCAGCAGTCCTTTCACTGACTTCCATGGCCTATGGATGAGGCCCTAAACCACAGAAATCAGAATACCAGAAGGGATTCTATCCTAATTAGAATGATCTCATTGACACTCAGACAAACCATTGTTCAACAGGAATAGTATCAAGCTAAGTCTGTCTAATAATTTCTGAACACTGCTATCTTGAATATTATTCAACAATCAACTAGACATCACTTAACATACACTATGTGATAGACAAATGGGAATCTAATAACTTTCTCTAACCCCTGTATTACTGCCACTTGAAACACTGTAAAATGCAAAATCTCACTGCAATTACAATATTCTCTAATCAGTACATTCTCCTAAATTCAAGCTGCACTCCTGCAGAAAGTATTAAGAAACAAATGCTGTTCAAGGAACCATATGAGGCTTTTAGAACAATGAAATCTTTTTTAGACAGTTCGGAGACCTATTAAAACAGACACAAAACCTTTCTCTGGCTGTTCTCACAAGCACTAGAACATAAAACCCTCAATTTTGGGGTTATCATGCAAGGAAGTGGTCCTGTAGCAGCCAGACTTAAGCAGCAAAGGGGAAATACTGTAAATATAACTCATTGTCTCCTAAGATTGCAAAGATGCTTTTCAGTTCTGATACACAGATGGCTATTGCAACAGATACAGGACTGAATAAGTATTTGTACTGTAATACAGTTTTGGAAGAAAACCAGGTGTCTTCCATGTTGTCTTTAGAGAATCTGCATTAATTTGTGAATTGATATTTGCACAAAGAAGGAATACATGGAAACAGATGAAGAGTGAATAAAGCAAGATGAAGGGGTATGTTGGGGATATGCCTTTCATATATAGATCAAAACTTTTATGAATGTGATGATACATTCAAGTACTTAAACATTTGGAAAGGTGTCCCATGGTTAGACTCCTCTGAGATTTCTTCCTTAAAATGTTTTCATTCTGAATGTCACTTACTGGATTCAGGCTCATCTCTATGGCAGAATTACTAGTCAGAGGAAAAATGGATTCTCCCGTGAGCCTCTGGAGAGGGTGATATTCTTCCATGGAAAACTATTCAATCATTCATTTTCAAATGGATGCAGGGAGTCCACCTTTCTGCCACTCTCTAGTTAAACATATTTATTCTCAATGCTCTTATGGGTCAGGAAATTTCCTCAGGAAACATCAACGGTAAAAATTAGTCATACCGGTTTAGTCTCTAATGAAGACTACTGAGAATGGTCAAATGGAAGTGGACATTTGGAGAAAATGAGGCTTACTCAATAGGAAATGAAAAGCAATCAAATATCAAACTCTGAAGGGGGGAAGATGTTAGAGCTAGGGAGTTAAAAAAAGAAACCTCCCAAAACAGAACAAAAATACATACCAACCCTTCTTCAGTCTGGTTCCATTTAGTGCTCAATTATGACACATTTTTCTGTGTATCATATTAACTTGAGAGTCAGCCCTAAGTTATTTTTATACCCACAAAAACATATCCCCCAAATGATAATGCCCTGAATGAGTAATATTTCAGTAATACTTTGCAATCGATTAAGGACACCTCCAGCACTGTTATATCCCTGAAGATACTAGCCAAACATTTCCTTTGTAAATTACCAGATAGCTCATGGAAAGTGAGCAGGCGTGATAAATGAGCTGTAGTTTTCTAGACTGTGCTTTTCAACAGATGTATTTACACATTTCACAATCTACCGGTAGGGATGGTGCATGTTACTGCCAAATGTTAGATGTAATGTTATCAAACAGAAGTCTCCCAACAAATTCCCATCATGTTGACTATTAAGATCAGCCTACCATGTGTAATTTTTCATGTTATGTCCTCAATCAAGATTTTTTTTTAAGCTATTGTTACTATTTTAAATTATCTTTTTCTTACTCACCAATACATGAAAAGTATGTATTTACACGAACAAAGAAACTGCAGAATGCCTATCTAGAGACTTGTGCCACTTAAATTTTTTAAATACTTTGTAAGCTTATTTAATAATTAAGTAAAAAGCCCCACATCAAAAAACTAAATCTGATCACATTTCTACTTTACACTGTTCTTCAAAGGGCTCTCCCTTTCAGACAACAGCAGAGGATTTTGTCTTGCCCTAGCCAGCTGCTCTTTATCGCAACATCTGATTTCCCTTAAGCAGTTCGATGGTGAAAATTAGCCACTCCCATGCCACTGACTGGTAAAACCCTGAGGTATTAGTGAGTTGCTATCAGTAACAGTGTGGCCTCAGGTAGACATTTTAGAGAAACAGGAGGAGATTCCTGGGGAAATTGTCATTCCTCTCTTTTTTGCTGGAGAGGAACAAATGGAGCCCATATCGTGCTGGACCGTTTGCACCTGCTGTACCCCATAAAGTGGCATGTTGGGGTACACTGGGGCAGATGTAGTGATAGCATAAAAAGACAGGTAGGTCCCACATTAGCACAGCCTAAGGCAGTACCTGCCTTGTCATATAACCTGGCCCAAGCACGTACAAGCCCCAGTGAACATGCAATGCATCTTGCTCCAAGAACTGCCATAGGCTGTGGAGTCCCACCATGCAACCCAAGATATCTTACCTGTGTCCATGACTATGGTGGTGCTATAAGGCGACCTGAATAATGAACAACGTGCTGGGCTCAAAACCCTGCCCATAGGGCGTCCAAAATCTTAATAAAATACAATATGATTAATGTATTAAGTCTGATGGTTACCATTTCCTCGTGGATGCATGGTCATACCAGCTAATGTGTTCAGACAGACAGAATTTTGTCGCAGCACCTTCTGAATAGCAACCGTACAATGATACAACCACAATCCATGTTCAGCAGAGCTCTTACAGATCATGCACCTTAAGTGATGTGTCAGGCTCAGTGCACTTCACAAACACGTAAAACACAAATATTAATCTGGCGGTACTACTATAATCATGCTGTTTCTTTATATGTTAATGTCTGTTCACTCCTCCAAAAACACATATGTTCATTTATCAGCATCTTAAGTATAAAGGTCTCAGAAACAGTGCTCTGGTCAAGGGGCTTATAATTGCCCAGGCTATGATCAGATTAGTTTCTTTACATGTCTTTAAGGACAGCTGAGCAATTAGAAGGAAAAAAAGAACCAAAAACCCCACACTCCACAAATATAACTTAGATTAAAAGTGATTTCTGATTTGACTACCTGTGATACATTTTCAGTAACTTCCTGAAAATCTCCAAGCTTCCAAGGTGTGCTAGCACAATCAAGCTTCAGTTTCAGTGTTATATTTATTAGATCTTTTCCTCAGAATAGATTTTAAGTTGTTTTCAATTATAATGTCTGCACTTCACGCTGCACTTGCTAGTCACATTGCATGCACTTACGAAACAGAAACAATTTTCTAAGACTGAAAAACCACATTCATTATTAGTATTTTCAAGAACTTTGCACAGAGCATTTGAAACTCCAGAAATATTTATGAGAGAAATGAGTGAATAATTCTGGATCATGGGGTTTCTGAACAGCAGGGGCTCTGGAGACAACTTGTGCACAAACTAAAAAGCAGAATACATTAATAACTAGAAAACATATTTAAATCTAATTTTGCATCTAGAAGTGCATATATTGCAGAAATTTCAAAATGGGGAAAGAAATTTTGCTCCTACCTCTTCCAAAGCCCATAATGAATCAACCACAGGCTTGATCTTCTTACTGCTGTATAGATTTAGGAGTTTGTCCATCACACCCTTGATCAGGCCACCTCGATTCTGTTTGAAAAGTAGATTCAACAGGGAAAATCCAGCAATGACTTTGTTTTCCTCATACAGCTTGATAGGATTTACTTTCTCAACCTGCCACCACTGGAAAGCAATAAACAACAGCAGGATTAGAAAAACATTTTTCAAGAAATGTACAGGAAAAGTTCACAAGAAAAATGTCTGGCCACGTGTGATACACGACTCATCTGTCAGAACTGAAGCAACAGCCAAGAGCAGCAGTAAGGATTTTATTTAAGGAAGAGGCAAAAAAGTATACAGCTGACTGACATGTGGAAATAAAACACAGACTTCTGTTGCATGAGATTAGGGTGTTAGAAGCATGGCGAACAGGTCTGGCTTTAGGACATGGGTCTAGAAGTAAGGAATTTGGACCTCCCTCCTTACTTCTGCTACCCTTCTTTGTTATCTCAAGAGAGCCATGCAAGCTTCCCAAACGTTCGCAAGCAACTCTTGACTATTACTCTTCTTTCAGAAACATGAAAACCATGCACTGCTTATCAGTTTCCATCTACTATCCACCCATTATGTCTGTGATATTTAGGCAACCCTCATAATATCTAATGAAATTCTTTTATTTCATTTAGCCCAAGAGCATCCTTGAGACCGAGACCCCACTTCCTAGCAAGTTTTATTTGAATGGGTCAATTTTTAATTAAAATTTTCATACAATTTTGATTAATTTTGCAGTATAATTACATAAAGAAACTAGTTATACTTTTATACAAAATTTGACATACTATTTTTTTATTAATTCTATTTATTTATATTTATTCAGTCAAATACCAGTACTGTCTGAGAAACATTTCAGTTAAAATTGATTTTGTTGGGCCAACCTACCCTACAAATTATACACATCTGGATATGTTTATATTAACAGTAAAAAGGCTGCATAGTAAAGATTATCTTGTTTTAGTTCACAAACACATGACAATAACAAAGATTGTGCCACTGCAACCATTACGAAAACGTAGGAGGCAAAGAACAGCTTCTTGCTACAGTCTTTGATTTATCTTGTTTTCAACTACATAGAGACTTCTGAAGCTAATTTCTCCTGGGAAAGGGTTGCTGCTGGAAGCTGTAAATGAGCTCTGGGCAGAAAGATCATATGACAGATCTTCAGTCAAGGCTTCTCCCTCTGTTTTTCTTGTCTGAAGGCATCACTTTCACTCCTGGTTAACTTATTTATCGCTAGCAGTTTGTTTGATCTATTTGTCCCCTTTTCAGTCACTAGGATTTCTGAGCAGATTTTTGTTGTAGTAAGCTGAAGAAAAAAATTTTAACATTTGACTTTTGGATTTGTTGACATCATCAATTAGGAAACAAATGCAACATCATCTCTTCGATATCACTTTGAATGAACACAGAGAACCGAAAAATGCATTTCTGTGTGGAACTAACTTCTGAAAAGCTGGAAATGACTGGACACAAGCCTCATCTTAAGAGATAGATCTCCTTTAATTCACCACACTGTCCTGACTGTTTTCAGATATGAGAAACCTACAGGGTACAATTATCTACACCCATGGATATGATATTCTGCCATAAGTAAAGAAATAATGCAGTCTAACTTTAAACTTAGCTGCATCAGAGATATATGTCTGATAGCCAACAATTTAAATGTACACTGCACACAGATCCGATTCCTGTCTAGCTGGTGTATCAGAAGAAAACACATCAGACCACACTGCAGTCAGAAAAAACGTTCTCTTTAGCAATATCAGAAGCAACAACTTAGTGGAGATAAGTAAGAATGATAAAGATGAAAATGCTACAGAAAAGACTGAAGTTAGAGGAAAGAGCAGAATCACAGTACTGGGACACTTACTGATTTCGCAAAACTGAAGAAGCTTTTTGTCTCTCCAGTAACCATGTTAGATGAACCTGTAAAAGATGAGTACATTCACACACAACTTATTACATGCTGACAAGCAGACCATTTATTATATATAAAATAATTTCCACGATTCATATTTAAGAAAAAAAATTCCCCTACGTTTAAAAGGGACTAGCAGACATCCTTATACTTTGGGAATAAATAACAAAGGGACAAGGTGACTGAGCCCTACAAGTTTATAGGTATTCTGAGATGACAAAAATAATCTATCAAATCTTCCAGGAACAGTGCTACTAGGCACCTTGACACCAAAACTCTTCTATAGCTCTTCTTCTCTGCAGTAAAATGCCATTTATCTCCGACACACTTACTTAGCAGCAATCACCACACAGGTGTCCTTTCTCTGTATCTGTAAGGACACATTTATCTGACCACTACATGTGTGAACATACATACATTATACACTACAACCTGTTAACAAATGTAATGACAATTCACTGGCAGGGACTTCATTACAAACAGGCAACCAGCTTGGCTTCTACAGTCCAAGCAGATATCCAAGTGACAACCCATTTGTTATTGCCACCCTGCTAGCTAGGCAAAAGTCCAAGGAAGCTGGTATGCTCATCCATGATGCCACTGCACCTTCCACTGCAATACAGATATATTCTTCATTTCAGAAGTTTAGCAATCCCTTCAGCTGTCCTCCTACAGAAGCTTGGCCTGCTTTATCAACATACAACATGGCAACATGGCAGAACTTCAAGACAGACATGTTTACTCAGTATGTGGAGCAGTCCATGTACATGAATGGAAATTTTTGAACAGAAGCCTGGGCTTGAATTCCTCAAAGTCATGTCAAATAAAAACAATAGCATTCTTCCTGAAATCTTCCTCCAAGCTTCCCTCCCCCAAGAACTATATTACAGTTTCCTTGGCCACACTGTGATTCCTATGGTGTGTAGAATGAGATCCAAGCCTTCTCCTACACTTCTCCTGTATCACCCAATAATGTTTAACAATCTGAAAACTATGCTCATTTCACTTTTGGATTTTTTTTTTATTTTTTCTTTTTAAGAGTTTCTTTGTATTACCTATTGTTTCTCAATAATTTAGTCCATGCTCAGCTTCGCTAAAATCCTTGATTGGAAACAGTCAAGTTGAGAAAGTATAACATGGCGGCCTCCAGTTCTGGAAGGAGCAGCATGGGTGATTTTAAGAGATTTTAAGCTTTAGTTTTGAAATATGTACCTGGCTTTTTTCCACTCACCATATAAAATGTAAGTCCCAAGTGGTTTGAGAAGACTGAGGCCTTTCCCAGTATTTTCTCCACAAAGACAGTCCAAAACAATATCTACTCCATCTGTCGAGATTCTGAAAAGCAAGAAAGAAATCTCACTTCGAAATAAGATCCACAGGACTGGTCAGCCAGCATGATACAGGCTGATTGTTAACATAATACTAACACATTCCAGGTACTTTAGAAAGGACTCTAAGCCTGAGGCTTTGACTACGTGAAAACCTTCTCCTCATCAAACTCAAACATCAAACTCATTCAGTGCTGGAATGTGAGTTTGTTGGGCTAGCCAACCCACACCTTTCAGGCTTAGAAGACTGGGAAACCATCTTGTTCCCCCTTCTTGAGGGCTTTCACTAAAATTATATTACCAAAAACAGTTGATAAAAGTTCTTTCTGAGTGAATGAAAGTGTCAGAGAACATTTTTCTGGGTCAGTGAATTTCATGGAGAATGTCATGTGAATTTTTGTTATTCACAGCTTATATTCTTTTTCTAAATTTGTAAGGAAACAGATCTTCCTATCTTAGCTCTTCTCAGATAAAATTACGTCCTTGTAAAGTTATTTAGTCTTCTGTTTCAGACTTTGTATCAACTAGGCATCAGCAGAGTGAAATCAAGCATAAAGAGAAGTCACCAAGAGCTAGAAATCCAGCTCTAAAGATACAATCAGGCCATATTATAGAAAGCAGAAAGTATTTATACTGTTTCAATAAATAGTTTGCATATTTATAATTTTCCAATAAATAGCTTTATGAATGCAATGTCAATATGATCTGAAGAAGAAAAAAAATACACCCAGATGCCCTGATACATAGTTCTTTTTTTTCTGGCAAAACACCAGCCTGCAAAATCATATCACTGGTTTGATCTAAGTCTAATATCCTACCTCCTAACCAAGTAAACAGCCCAAGCAGTAGTAAATTCTTGATTAATACTCTCAAACAATTATGCAAATAACTGGTACAGACACTACAAGAAACTTGCAACCTGAAGATTATCAAAGGTTTAAGGGGCAGTCAATAGCATCTAATTCCCAGGAGCATCAGTTAGCTCCTGATGACCATGCCTTCTGCAGTGGTATAACTGCAATGAGCAGTCAGGAAAGAGGTAAAGCTTTATGGCTTGTAATGCATCTTTCTGTTTCCTCACAAAACAAAGGTGATACTCAGGCATCCACTGGTTACAAACAGCAACAAAATTGGACAACTTTACTCTTTGGTACTGCTGCCGTATGTGGGATAATAAATTGTTAATATTCAGGCCACTGGATGAGCTTTCACTGTAAATGAATAATGACTTTGCAATCAAACAGCTTCTCGTGGCTTCCACGGTTGAACTGATTGCTTATCCCCTAGGAACGTTTCCACATTCGTATCACCTCTGGGTTTTTGGTTTGGGGTTGGGTTGGTTTTGGGGGTTTTTTTTTGTCATTGTTGTTCATTTTTTCTTCATTGTTTGGGGCTTTGAGTTGGGTTTTTTTGTTTGTTTGGGGTTTTTTTGACTGCTCCCTGATGAAAGCTCTTCCCTGGAATACCCCAGTCACCTGCAATAAAGCAGGTTCCCACCACTATCCTTTCTCAACCCTGTGCCCACCCTTTCCTGCTCACAAACTCTCAAGAAATGAAGAGCCTTCCCCTTCCCTTAGGGCTCCCCCTGACCCCGTGTGCAGCAGGCAAATGCAGACTAGACGTCTTCCCTGCTGGCCAGCCAAACATTTTAAGCAGAACATAGTATACAGCTAATGTACAGCAAACCAATTACACTGTTCCCCCCACTGCCTCTTTCAAAAGACAATTTGTCTTTACAGCATTCTCAGAATCCCCACTGTACTTTCTTTTTTTTTTTTCAATGCAAAGTGAAAATACACAGATCTGAGCAACAAACCAGAGTATTGGCATATTCTACAGGGTACCAATTCTGACTTTTAATCAGGACTATCAATTGTGCTAATACTACACACCTCTATATCAGGAAAGAAGCACAAACTAGCTTGTTGCATCTACATTTTATCTTTTGTACCCACTGGTTCTCTGCCTCATTGGTCTGTTGCAAGGTGAAAAAGTATGTGAAAATGCAGGATCACCAAAAGGGGTTTTAACATACTTAACAGAGCAGAACTCCACCCCTTCGTAACCAGGTCTCCTTTTGATTTCAGTAGTTAGTGTGTTACACAGAATCAGGGGTGGTGTCAGGGAACTGTCTCAAAAAAGAACTGTTCTGATGAAGGGCAGAAGCAGCCGTTATCTGCAATCATAAAGTTATCAGAAGTTAAAGGGGCTTTATTCCTTTTTTTAAGCACTGATTTCTGTTGTATCTGCTCCCATATCACATATCCACTTAGACCAGATCCTCTGCTGCCCGTGCCAAGTGTTAGGATTAAGGTTGGTGCTGAACTCGGATTAATGTTTTCAAGTGTTCTTTCTTGCTGAATCAATGTTTGTAGAGTGGAGATTGCCAGAATTCAGTCTTCACCCCACTACAGCAATTTTCCAGGGGCAGCAAAACACTTAGGTATGTATACTTCCCCAAGAGAAAGGCTATCAAAGGGCTGAAGAAATGTGCTGCAATTCTGAGCTGTAAGAAAATGGCAGGGGTGTTATCTGCTGGACAAGCCCTATCTTTTTTAGTGAAACTTCCCATATAGAAAAATTTTCCTTTGATAGAAAATGTCCTTTGTGATGGATCATTTCAAATGATCTCTTAAACTCTTGGGAGCGCTCCAGAAACAGTAGCAAGACACCCTGCTTTCTGCTCCAACACCAGTCTGGATTGCTAACAGCTCAGACCAAAGTCTGCTATATACTGAAGGCCCTCTTTGAGGGCTAGTAACCCTCGTACCAAGAGACCTTCTGAGACTTTGCATGTCACTGAGGAATGCACAACTTTGACAGGAAGCCTGTCAACTGTACTACCTTGGGGTGCCCCTTTGAGAAATTTCTTGTTTTATGCCCAGCTACATAATCTAGTATTTTGACAAATACAAGATGAAGGGAAAACATTATTCTTATCTGACTAGTAAAAATAAAAAAAAAACATTTTTTACTAAGATTTTCTTATCAATTCTAACATTTTGCCGCCTGTATCAACATCAATATCTAAACCCAGCAAACTGGAAAGCAAAGTATTTGAAAGCATGTAAATAGAAACACACATGATGACTTCAAAAGGCAAGAGGATGATTCTAATCTGAATGCAAACAAACAAAATCTAAGGATCTGAAATTAAAACAGACATTACGTGCTCCGATATCAATCCCTGGCAGAGGATAAAAACCCAGGCAGACAGAAACACACCAGAGAACTCCAAAACCTGCATAACTTAGAGCCACTGAAAATATCTTATTTGGTGCATTACAGTGAGCTGCTACATATGCAGATAATAGCCAAGTAAGTACATCCTTCTGTTAAGACCTTTATTCTTTTTCACTTGGTTTACTTGGCTTGCAACAGATGTCCAAGTATGAACATGGACTAACAAAGCTTATGTTGCTTAAAGAAATAAGGAGATGCTTGCTATCTTGTCCCTTGTAGTGGACAGATGGAATATCTGGAATAAACGACAGTTCCCAAACTCACAAATATAATCTCTTGCCACAAATACGATCAGTCCAGTGTCTTTCATAGTATTTTGCCAGATACTATACTTATAGTATACCCTTACTCGGGAATATAGGAGGAAGACAGATACCCTTACTCAGGAAAATAAAAGATTACCTTTTTACTTCTTGAACATAGTCTGCATTTCTGTCAAACAGGTGAGTTACTGAGTCTTTGATTGCTTCATGTTTGAAAGATGAAGCTGTTCCAAAAACAGTAACATTGGGAATAGTTGAACAGAGCTGAGCAACAGCTTGACCCTGCAAACACATTATTATGTTAGTTCACCGACATGGAAATTGGTTGACAGACTTTGCAGCTGCCAATTCACTCATGACACAGCAAAATCCAAGACCAAACATGTGCAAGGACTTCCCAAACTAATTTCTTGCCAGTGCAATGCAGTTCAGCCACAGGAAAAAAATACACTTAATCAAAAGGATATTCTGAAGACAAAGCAACTGCAGGGATAAAAGTAATTTAATGTATCTAAAATTGTATTGGGAAAGCGTTCTTCTTGATCTTTTAACAATGGCAGTGTAATTTAAGGGAAACAACATTAATTTACAAGGACCACCAAAAATGATTACTCAAAGAGTGCTAGAAAAATATTTCTCATTTGCTACTTGCATCCTACGTGCATTTCCTCCAGAGTCCCTTGAGTAATGTCAGCAGTCCTCTCTGCACTTCCTACCTCCAAACAGTGTTGACTGCTTCTGCACGCGATTCAAATCCTCTCTGCTCATGGGGAAGGTCTTGCAGCACCTGATGCCAGAACAGAATTTCTGGCAGAAAATGTGAAAGTACTTAGCTCCTCCGGTGCTCAGATACAGCTTTTTGCTGTCCTAGTACAGAAGGTCTAGTGTAGTCAGTCCCAGGACTGTAGTCTACCATTCCTAAGCGATCACATTTTCTTGTGGTTTCAGTGGGACACAGCAAGTTGGTATAACAAATACTGCATAGTTAAGCAAATCTGGTTTACCTCTTATAAATAAAAATAATTATCACTGATTATTCAAAATGCAGGAATAGCCTTGAGTCACACTAACAGGTCTGCTTAGGCCAGTGCCCCAACCTCAAAACTTATCAACAGCAAAGGGGATAAAATGGCCTAGAGCATGTATAAGAAAGTCATTCTCCTAGTATATCCCTCCTGGGTCTGGGCAGGAACCCAGTGGAGTCAATGAAATGTTATGTCAGTGTTTAGGTAGGACTTGAGGGGTTAAGAGAATTTGTGCATTCAAATGTCTGTACTCCGACTTTCCAGCTTTGAGCCCCAGAAGGCTTTAACTTCTCTAAGTTTTAACCTCTAATTTCATGAGTCTGAGAGAAGGGAAGTACTGCGTAAATGCTGAGCCATCTAGATTTCAAAAAAGATCCTAACGGGTCATCTTTTTACAACCCTGGGTTTTGTTTTACTCTTAACACACTAACAAATGGAAGACAGACTTTTGGTAGCCACATCCTGCCTCTTGTTGTAACCACATTTCTCCACTGGAGCTAGCATGGTTACAGGGATATACCCAGAAGCAAGAAACAGCACTGTCATTCTGAAAATAGTGTCTGATGGAATTCACCAGATTCTTACTTACATTTACAGCCAAAAGATTGTCATTTGTAAACTGTATGCATGACCAGTAAAATCATCCATGGATAAACAAATTTCTGTTCATTCCAACCAGAAACCCTGATCATTAGTATGTAAATACCAGTAATCAGTGCTTGGGTTTTATTTACAGTAGAACAATTAGATAACCCTGCATACCCTCGGGGGTCTTGGCATCCTCACATATAATGCTGAATGTAATTGCTAGTGACAATCCTCTGAGCTGAACATCACAAGAGAGGACAGTATTATTATTTATATATGGTGGCATCCAGGAGTTTCAGGTTGGTTTCTTACTGGATTAGTAAAGTAAACAGCTACACAGCAAGGCACAGTTTACATGTACCTTTGGACAGGTACCAACAGACACAGAGAAGAGAGCAGAAGAAGGGATGCATTCTCATTCTTACTTTACAGACGAGAAATAGAATAGCACAGCAAATTGAACAACCTGTCCAACAACAGCTCAGAGAAACTTACAGCAGGACCCAGGTAGGAATGCTGATTCATGGCATGGTAATCCAATACCAAACATAACTGACCTTTTCTTTTTAGAATCGTCCACCATTTTCCTGGATTGGAATCCCTAATCTCTTAGAAATCATAGGAAAATCCATTCCTGAGGGGTCTCATCTCAAGATGTAATGTTTTGGGGGGCAGAAGACATTTCACTCTTCTCATACTTTACTTCTTTATTACTTACCATCTCATTCTGAAGCCCAGGTTTTAGCCTCCACAAATATTGTAACATAAAATTACAAGACAAAAATTAATCTGGATTTTGTATCTCCTTTTCTCAGTCATTTTCACTAGCAATCCTCTTTTCTCACTTTCTGTGTCTCCCAGAAAACCATCACCCACAGTGATTTAGGTAAGTCAGTATTTTATAATGTATGCTAGTTGAGTGAAATTCTGACATTATTGATCTATTCTCTAATTAGTTTTCTGCATTTTCAATCTAACTTGGGAAGGCACAGGATAATGAGTATCTCCTGAACCAAAACCACTGAATGTTTAAAAGGTCAAATATTAGAGTAGAAAATACGTGGATTTTTATTCTGCAGAAGATGATTAACATTTAACAAACTGACAGTCATATGAATAGAAGAAATGGACAAAAACCCCAGGATGTGCATACCCTATTTTCCTCCTGTCTCAAACTTGTTAGTACACCTCTCCCCCCCACCACAGAGATAAGCTTATCTAAAATCCCAGATCAGAATATTTTCCAGCTTTCTGTAGATATTTAAAGCCTAAAACTGACTCATATGACCAGTACTTTTTATAATTGGACAAACAACATCACTGAAGTATTTTGAGGCAATCCCACGAAACACTCTTCTACAGCTTTCTGAAGATCTTAATTTGAAGTTGACTTGTAGTTATTTTTGTGCAAAGTATTCTTAGTATTTGTATCTCAGAAATCTAGGAATAAAGGCTGATATTGGACTTTTCTGGCTTTTCCCACCAAAACAGGAGAATTGAACTCAACCTATGAACTCAAACATTTCACTAATTTCTGTGGAATTCGACTAAGCTCCAAAACACCACTGTGGCTATGCAAGTCACTCTTAAGTCTCTTTTCTAATCCGTCAAGTCATCTAGCTACCTCTGGATTAGTAGCTAGTGTTTAAAGGGCTATACGTGTTAATTGCAAGTGTGCGACGTTCAGAATGTCCACCCCTTCATCATAGGGGCACACGAGCCCTCTCTTGTCTTTTGGACGCCAAAGCCATTCCCCTCCTCAAAAATGCTTTGTGGTAGACAGAGACGAGGGCTTTCTGTCTCTTCCCTGCCCAGACAAAACCACATCATCTCTGCTACCAGCTTTCACTGTGGAGACCACATGGATATGAAAGCAGGCACCATGTTATCAGAAATAGTGTATGAACTCTGAAACCTTCCAAGAAGGTGTCTAATTAGGTAGGCATGATTTGAAAAATGAAAGTAAAACTCTCCACACACCTAATTTTTCATACACGATGCAAATTTCTTCATATAAGCACTGACTAGATTCTTGCTTCCTGAAGCCGGGAAAATTAATAAGTGGCAAAAAATAATTCTCACTTGGACAATTAATTTTACCTTTAACAGGACTTAGCAGTCTTTAAAAAAAAAAAAAAAAAATCAATTCCTTCACTGCAGGGATAGACATGGTTACAAAATATTCCCTTAAAATGGAATTAATCTCCTCTAAAATATATATATTTTATATACTACTTATCATGCAGAACTCTACATGGTGAGTCCTCAAAGGAATGAATAACTTGGGTTAAAGCATTCTGTGGAAATGAAGCATGTCTCCTAATAATGGATTTGGCATAGAAGTCTTACGTCTCTTTAGCTTCAAAGTCTGTTTGATGGATTCCTTTTCAATGTATCCTGTCAATTTATAAAACCAGTATGTTGAACCTAATCTCCATATATGATTATTACAGAGTTTATTATAAATGGATATTCTTACAGTAGTTTTAGATCCAGTAAAAAGATTGAGATTTCTTTACATTCCTTTGCTTTAAAACCCAACTTTGAACCTGCAGGGCTGGAAACTTCTCATACTGAGATAATCACATAAAACCAGAAAAGTGTATTTTTTAAGAAGCAAAAATGAAATAGACTGTTCTGTGAATTTAAACAATTTCAAAGTGAAAAAAGTCATTAACATTTAAAACTCAATACAGAAAGCATGAATAGAAGAAAACTTACTAATCTAATTAGCTTATTAATACTAACACTGGATGAAATAAGGGGTGTAAGTTAGTGGATTTCCTAAAGAGTCTGACCAAATGGCACAGGCCAGATCTCAGTCTGATGTGCAAGCTGTGCACTGAATTACAGCAGTTATAGGTCAGTATACTTTCAAGAAAGCATCTTTTTTGCTATTATGTAAACTGAGGCCAGCTTTATAGCAGGAAAGAACAAACCATCTAAAAGATACCACCCTGCAAAACTACATCTATTAGAACCAATAGCATTGTTGAAATCATTTCTATGATACATTTTTGCAGCCCGAAGGTGCTATGGCATTTTAAAAAAATTATTCAGACAATCTTGCACAAGAAACCTGTCTGGAAGCAAACGTGAAAAGAATCCACATTTCCAGAATGCTTTGATGCCACATAACCAGCTCTGAAGGTGGTATGAGGTACACAAACATAGTAAGAAAACTGCAGGGGAGAAGACATCTACTAATGTCCTGGCATTTCTCTGGTGTTAGGAGAAGTCAGATACACAACACTCCACCTCCTGAAGGTGTCATTTTTCCAGTTACAGCAGAGGAAATTGGAAACCAAACACTAAGGTGAACATTGCAGAGTGGACAAACTGAAACGTCATTCTTGAACAAGGGTAAGACAGCATCTGCTACACTCAGTGCACCGCAAGTAAGTTTTGGAGCAGAGGGAGGGGAACAGTCACCGGGAAATAATGATCTCTTTTACCCTCAAAATCTCTTCGTTTCTGCAACAATTAGCAGGGTGCGTTTTTTTCCTACTCCCTCACAAAACTGTGTGGCTGAGGCGTATCCAAAACTCAGAGCTGGCTCTCCATCTGGTATATACCCTCTTCAGTTTAGCGGAGCTGCGACAACATACCCCAGCCGAGACCCTTGCCCAGAGGATGCAAGCTCTACCTGAAAAGGTTGAACAGCCAAGG